CCTCTCCTCTCCTCTCCTCCTTTTTTTTTTTTTGTATTGTCAAAGTTTTAACTATATTCAATCCATTATTTGCAACCTTTTCTGAATTGTAACAAATCAACATTTTTTATCTATCCATATTCCAATATTTGGAATTATGAGTGTTTATTTACAGATTAAAAAATAAAACTTTTTAAATTGATCATGAAAAGCTTTATGCTTTAATCCCCTTTAACAGATTCTTGTTTTAGGAGAGTCTGGTCTCTTACGTACATCACAAAGATGCAGGACATCTCTATATAGTTTGTAAGTGCATCTAACAACATATATAGCAAGTTCATAAGCATATTGAGAAACACTCACTCTTAATCATTTTTATCTCCTTCAAATTCCAAACAGCTTTGAAGCACAAGAAATCTTCCAGACGTCAGTTAAACTGGTGATATAACAGCTTTTTATGATGGAATTGTTAAAAAAAACCAAAAAACTGAAAATCATTTAACAGGTCCAATAAATTCATCCTTAGATTTTCACAGGAGTCAAAATCATACAGAGCATGGACTTAACTTATGGAACTGGATTTAATCCTCTCTACACAGTTCTGCAAAACTATATTATATACCACATGCTAACATCCATGCCAGAAAACACTGCCACAGCATAGAAAGATCATCACAGATAAATTTCACAAGTAAATCCCTGCCAACTCAGCCATCTAGGACTTGTTTATTCATGATAGGAAGCAGCTATTTTGAATCTGCTGCAAATATATGTATGAAAGAGAGAACACTTGTATCACCTCTAGGAATAAAACACATGCTTTACTTTTACAATTAGAATTCCTGCTTCAAAAATAATGGAGCTATCAGTTTCACAAGGTCTTATTCTACATATGAAAGTAAAAATTTAGCATCACCAAAAAAGACGACATCCAAATGTGATGTTTTCTACGCTGCCCTAAACAAACAATAATAACTAATGAAACTTACTACTAAATTTCAACTGCATTATTGTCTTCCTGCTACAGCTATCTATGTCCTCAGAATTCCTGAGTTACAATACTACCTTACAGATCCTTCTTATGTTCCTTTGACAATATTACTACTATGCATAACAGGAGCAACAAGTAACTCATTGGTGTTTTAATTCAGGTGATTAGTCTTTTCCTCTGAGATCTTTTTGCCCCCTCAGATGTAGCAAAATATAAAATCAAAGTTTCTTTGATTTTTTTAAATTCATTTTTTTATTTTGTTTTCTGACAGGTTCCTTATGCTCTTTGACATTAGATTATGGAAGGTCTACAAGTCCTCCATATGCCAAAAAAAGGAAGATCTTGAGGATCGTCATGTGTCTATACCATTCATATATGTTTCTATTTCAACTGAAGATATTTAATTTGTAGCAGAACTTACAGAAGACTATTGCCTTTAATCATCCTGACAAGTACAGGATGTCTTACCCTATCCATTTGTCTAACATAAAGAGTTTATTGCCATATATTTTTCTTGTGAGTTCTTGGTTGTGCTTTGCCATGTAAAACAGTTTGAGTGCTACTACATTCTTGTGTATAATGCAATCAGAAAATGAAAAGAGAGAGAGAGAGAGATCTTGTCTGTAACTGAACAAATAACATAATTTGATTATACACGTTCTTCCTAAATTTACAAATAAATTAATATAGGTAATATAACGAGGATTATTTTTGTTTTGGAATCCTGAATTTATATCTTTGCTAATTTATTTACTTGTTTTTCTTACTGACCTTCTTTACAGAGACTTAAATATATTACTTTTTGAAATGTTATCAATTTATAAGTATAAAACTAAAAATATGCAAAGAGTATCTCTGTCTCCTTCTGCAAGGAAAAAAAAAAAAGTGGTAAGTCCTGAAACCCAGAGATATTTAAGAGATGTGTGGACATGACACTAAGGAGCATTAAGGAGGTTTAGTGATGGGAATCAATATGTCAGGTAGATGGTTGGACTTGATAATCTTGAGTCTTTTCCAACCTAAGTGATTATATCATACTATAATTCTAATTACCTGACTGGACTATTTGAGACATCTGGATCATGGGCAGCAACAGTTCCAATGATAGTGCCGACTTTCGCTGCTTCAGACACCACCATGGAGTATAAACGTGACGTAAACACAGGTGGCTCATCAACATCTTCTACGATTATCTTCACTGTTGTCATGTCGCTGAAGGGCCCAAGACTTAGGAAGCGAGGATCAACATGTATATTGGCTGCTTCTATCCTCAGGGTATAGCTTGTTTTAGCTTCAAAATCCAACTCCTATGCAGGAAAAATTATTTGAAAATTGTATTACCCCATAACATTGCTGCAAAACTCACAACAGTCAGAAAGTAAAAAATGAGTTTTGCCATCTTCATCCAAACAGTACTTCTGATTGACAGAGCACAGTGAATGGCTCTTCTTTCAGCTTTCTCCAAGCACTATGCTTGCGGTGTCTTGCTCAGTCTGATTAAACACAACTCAAATGACAATGAGGTAATCATAAGATACTAAAGTTATTTTTCATTACTGCATTAGTGTTGTTAAAAAAATGTTTAATTAGCTAAATGAAAAAAAAGAAACAAACAAACAAAAAAGTGGAAGATAATAGACTTGTGAATATTTGTGAGTTATATTTTCTTACAAAGATGATCAGGGGACTGGAGCACCTCCCCTACGAAGACAGGCTGAGGAAGCTGGGTTTGTTCAGCCTGGAGAAAAAAAGGCTGCAGGGTGACCTCATTGCAGCCTTTCAGTACCTAAAGTGAGCCTACAAAGAGGAGGAGAATCAACTCTTTGAAAGGGTAGATAACTGCAGGACAAGGGGAAATAGTTTTAAATTGAGGGAGGGGAAATTTAGGTTGGATGTCAGGGGGAAGTTCTTTACAGAGAGAGTGGTGAGGTGCTGGAACAGGCTGCCCAGAGAGGTTGTGGATGCCCCATCCCTGGAGGTGTTCAAGGCCAGATTGGATGGGGCCCTGGGCAGCCTGGTCTAGCATTGAATGTGGAGGTTGGTGGCCCTGTATGTGGTAAGGAGGTTGGAGATTCATGATCCTTGAGGTCCCTTCCAACCCTGGCCATTTTGTGATTCTGTGATTCCATGCTTTGTTTTGTTGCAGAAAAGTATGCATAGGATTTTTCAAGAACACCCTTTAGTTCCACTAAAATTTATTCTAGTGGGTATTCCTCAATGATGTAATGGGAAAGATAGATGCGTAAATTCTGCTTTGTGAATGAAACAAGATTTCTCTGAGTTAGTAATAAACCATTCTGTGACTTCAATGGGAATCAATATTCCTTCATCATTTCAATGCTGTGAATGAATTATTTTTGTCTTACTCACATTTTCTTATAAGTATCAAGTACAATGTGCCGTAGTAACCAGACATTAGAAATAAATATATTATTCACTGCTGACAACACCTCACTGAAAACACCTTATTTTGATTTATTTTGTTTTTGCATTCATTGACATTAATTATCAACTATTTCTTGAAGTTCTGTACAAATTTGTAGAGATAATGTAGGAATCTATCAAACTACATTGTATATGTGACAAATTTTTAGAAGACACTTGAAGATTGTTTGCTTTATTTATTAAGCAAAATCTTTATAATTTGTTTCCACCTTTATTCCACTTTTAATTTCTTCAATTAATTTTGAGTTTCCTTTGGAATTAATATTGCATTAGAATTCCAAAATTATCCTCCAGCATTCATGGGATAACTGTGGTCTAGAAAATAGTACCATTACAAAAATTTTTTCAGAAACAAAAAATATTTTGCCTCACAAACACCGAAGGAAATTATTGAAGAAAAGCATCATATTAATATTAAAAGAATTTACTTTGCATCTAGATTCTTAGTCTGTCAGCTTGCAGCAAATGCCTAGCTTAATATTTCTTTGCAATTGCAAATTAAGAACAGAAACAAAAGACCCAAACATTTCAAAACTGCAGTCTGATTAGTCTACTGTCTTTTCAAACTAGATTTCCAAATGCATAAGACAGATTAAAAAAGGGCTTCAACACTTCTGATCCTGAACAAATCATAAATACCTGAAATGGGCCTGAAAAATAATCTGACAGCATCCGCAAAATATTCCTGCACTCATTCAGAGGAGGAACAGAGGTGAAATACACATCTGCTGACCTACAAATGTGAGGGTCTAAGTTTCCCATCAAGTTACAGTAAAATAAATCCCAAATGAGCATCTTAAAGTCTGTGATTAATCTGGCATTACAATACAGCTGTAAACAGCCTGGATTTAGAAATGAAAAATAGATTGCAATACATCACACTTGGAAACTTTTATAAACTTCATGTGGCAGCAAAAATCTTTTCTGAACAGGAAAGTATATGATCTTCATTTCATGCAATCACTCACTTCCTGCATTAAGTATTCAGTTCTCCAAAAAGTATTATGCTATCTGAATACTGGGCAATACAGTTGATACAACTGGATACTGGTCAGTGTGTATTGCTACTGACATTGTTTTGAATCTTAATCTTGGCTTTATATTTCAGATTTCAAAATACGAGCCACGGAACACACTTCACAGCCACAATGCAAACATAGTGTGATGTAGGCACGGGCACAGGCTGCCTGGAAAAGTTCTGGATGCCCCATCCCTGAAGGCATTCAAGTCCAATTTGGACTGGGACCAGGGCAGCCTGATCTGGTGGGTAGCTGCCCTGCCCGCAGCAGCAGCTTGGGACTGAATGGCTTTCAGATCCCTTCCAACTCAAGCCATTCTATGATTCTATGTTAAGATGAAAAATCTCTCAGAAAATAATGCAAATGATATTGCCAGATGAACAGCAAAGTTAGGGAGAAGACAGACACACATGGAAATATATTAATTTTTTTTCTGTAACGGTGTTGTATGGACTACAGAAATTATGACCTCAAGAGTGTCATTGACAAAAGACTGATATTTGTTGAATAAAAAAGCAGAATTTTTTAACAAATTATATAATTCAATTCAGAATTCAGTTTTGGAAATTGATTAATTGGCTGAGGGGTCAGTCTCAGGAGATTGTAGTAAATGGGGTTACATTAGGCTGACCTTTAGTTTAGGTGTTCAAATGAGTATGCATGTTGTACATGAGTCAGTAGTGTGCCTTGTCAGCCGAAAGTCACAATTATACCCTGGGGTGCATTAGGCCCTGCACTTCCACCAGGTGAGGGAAGGGATTGACTTGCACTGCTCTGTGTGCTTTGTAGCCTCACATCAAGCACTGCATGCAGTTTGGGTGCCACAATATAAGAAGGACTTAAAACTATTAGAGAGTGTCCAAAGGAGTGCGGAAAAGAAGGTGAAGGGCCCAGAGGGCAAGATGTATAAGAAATGGCCAAGGTCCCTTGGCTTTTTAAGCCCCGAGTAGAAGAGGCTGAGGGGAGGTTGAAGGGGGGCCCACAGCTTCTTACGAGAAGAGTGAGGGGCAGCACTGAGTTCTGCTCTCTGGTGACAGAGACAAGATCTGAGGGAACAGCATGGAGCTGTGACAGAGGAGGGGAAAGGTTCTGCACCTGAGGGTGGTGGGTGTGGGAACAGGCTGCCCAGGGCAGTAGTCATGGTCCCCAGCTGCCAGAATTCAAGAAGTGTTTAGGTGCTGCCCTCAGACATAAGGTTTGATTTTGGGGTGGACTTGTATAGAGCCAAGAGCTGGTGTTGTTGATTACCAGTTAGGGATGTTCTATGATTCTATGATTCTCTCTCACACAGCAGACAGAAAATTCAACTTAATTTTCATTAGAAACTGTTGGGTTTAAAAAAAATAAATAAATAAACATACAAGTGATTAGCCCAGTTTATACTCTTCATACTGCTTATTTTTCTATTCAACATATATTAATATGTACTGTTGCACACCTTCTATTTTTAATCTTCCCATGATGCTTTGAGTAGCCCCATACAACTGATTAATACTATAGAAAAGTTTAAATTTTGTCATGACACCTAAATATTCTAAACTTCGGCATGTTTTCCACTGAACAAAAAGGAGGACCTATTGTTGTTACTTTCTGTTAAAAAGAAAAAAAAAAAAAAAAAAAAAACAAAAAAAACACAAAAAGCAAATAACAAAGACCTATCCAGTGTATGACAAGTTATAAGGCAAAATAAGTAGTGATTTTTCTACTTAAATATTCCTACATACATCACATATCTTGTGACTCCAAGATTCAACATAACAGTATCACAAAACTTTGCCTATTCTGGGGATTGTTATATTTTCAAGTTACTATTTTGACTTTGAAGTTGCATACACTGTAGAAGGGAAGGCTAACTTATTTCCATTAATCACTGATATCTGTTAAAATCTGACAGTTTAAATTACAGCAATACTTAATCAAACATGTGGAATTAATGAAGATGGAGACAAGACAGCTTCTTACGACATATTAATGTCAACATCACTGTTACTTAAGAAAAAATAATGAAAAAATTGAATTTGATTCGAAGTATGTGTAGAGCATAATTTTGTTAAACTAAGCACAGTTATGAAGAAATTATTTAAATGAAAATTTTGCACATGTTCTTATATTTCTGTATTGATTTCAAAAGACTAAATGAGATATTTAGTGTTTTAATTAAAAATCATAAAATCATTTCTTTTCCATGTGGGCATTTAACATAAGTTTTACATATCCATTTAAACCATTATGTTTCATATATTTGAGTGGAATCTCGCATTTGTAGGGACTAAGGAGAATACATTCATTGGAAAAGATGAAAAACGAATGATGTTGATGTTTAACATGCCTGCTTACTCAGGGCAGTTTTTACCTTCTCTAAGTTAGCCATATAAATTATTATATTCTCAAAACTATCATACATTGCTTACTGTGAGCAGAAGTCCTTCTAGGGAAGATCACCTGATCTACTTACTGTCTGTTTTTCAGCAGCCAGTAGAAAATGAATCTCAGTAACTGAAAGATGTAAACATCTGCTTTCAGTAATATGAATCCTACCCTTGAGTTCCCTTATATCAGGTACCTAAAGCTGCTGACAGTTTAAGAAAGTTGTAAAAGTTCTTTGTTAGTGGAAAACAGAGAAAAAAAAAAAAAATCTGATGTACTCATATGTGATATGAAACCATTGCTGCTTAGAAGAGGTAGAGAATGTAAGGGCAAGGTTGCATCATCACATGATAGAAGATTATAAATCCCAACACTATTATTTTCTCCTTAGTTCTTTACAGTAGAATTTATTTACAGTAGTTTTTCCTGTGGGATGTGGTAGTGACCATAAATCTGAAGTCATCATCCTCAGTCTA